GGCTTCCGGTCGTACGAGCGCTGGCACAAAGCGGCCCAGAGACTTTTTTGCACCAATATGCCGGGAAATATCTGGACATGAAAGAACCTCGGACGTGTGCTATGCCGAGTGCGGCAGACGTGAAGCGTGGATGTGGCTTCGATGTGGTGTCTGGCTTAGAGACGCAGAAGCTTTTGCGCGACAGCAGGAACTCGCACGCCAGACTGGATGCGTTACAGCGTCGCTGGCTGCATGTGGGTTTGGTGTTCGTGGACGAGATCTCTCTGACCCCGCCTGCGTTGTTGGCTGCGATGCAGCGCAATGGGGCAGACACACTCTGCAGAACTCCAAGCCTAGTGGTTCAGTGTTTGAAAGAGGGAAAAAAGGAAAACGCTCGTGCCAGCGGTTGGGAAACGTCAGCAAGTGATCATGTGGAGACGTTGGGAAATGTATTGTGCCAAATCGTTGCTGGTGATTTTTTGCAATTGAATCCAGTGTTGAATCATTCCTTGATGGAAATCTTCGGTGTCGAAGTTCCTCGTGCTCCAACGTATGAAAAGATGGAGGCACAGACCCGGCAACGCAAGCAGGACATCGACCGGTTGGGCTTGCAGATCTTTGGTCAATTTTTGCCGCAAACAATTCTGTTTCGGGGGAGCCATCGGCTCAAGGTGGGCGATCCGTTGGCGGAGATCCTCAGCAACATGCGTAAGGAGGGTCACAATCCTTTGCGTGAAGAGTTGAAAGACGCCATTCGTAAGCAAGTATTTCGACCTTTGGCCGCTGGACAGTGATTTTGTGATGCGAGACGCAGATGGGCGTCAAGTGGGTCCTACGGGCTTCTTTGCCAATGGCGTGTTTTCGGCAATCAACTGGGATCAGGTGGCACGCTTGCAACAAATCACTGTCTATGAATCCGCAAAAAGCAGTTTTGGAGTCAGCGCTTGGCAAAACACTGCGGCTGGCAAGGCTGTGCGGATTCATCGACATTTTCCTCCTGCGTTGGGACGCTCCATCAATGCTAAGTTTGGGCAAGGCTTGCAGTCGGTGGCTCAGTCCCTGACGTCCTTCATGTTTCAGCAAGGACAGGTCATCTATTACGCGCAGGCCGTGGATCTGGTTCATCAGAAGGAGTTTTTTGCTCACAAAAGCATCTTGCACGAGTGCTTGGCAATTACCATGTGGGCCTGCGTGTCAAAATCACGAAGAAACTTATGGCCCCTGAACTGGTGCAAGAATGTCCTGCCGAAGTCATTGCAATTGGAGTACATCCGCAGGAAAGATATGGCATTCCCGGCTGTCCACCGGGTTTGCCACAACCACCGGCTGGCCACCCCTGTTGGAGCGAAGGCATCTGCAGATTGGACTATTTACCTTCTTCTGTTAGTAAGTATTCGCGTCGAGGCCGGGATTGTTTGAAGTCTTCGATTGGGATCACATTTCAGGAACCGTTGGACATATATTGCATCAGCATAAAGGAACCTTTTATGTTAGCTTCGTGCTGTAGTCTGGTCAATAGAATCTAATGTCCCCCTGTGAGGACCGCGGCGACGACTACACTGGACAAGGACATTTTGGTGTCTGGCATTTGGATCCGTCTGAAGACGAATTCAAGCTGCGCGTTCGTCGCCGCGGAGAAGTTTACCTGGATGTAACTCGAGTGCAATACCCATTGGCGCCGTGGACTGCAGGCACGTACAATAATCAACAAGGAAAGACTGTGCGGAACATGGGGCATACTGAGAGGCATACTGTGGACTTCAAGAAACCAGATTTCACTCCGGAGGAATACATTCAGCATGTTTATATGATTACAGGTCGGTCCACCTGCTTGCAGCATTGCTTGTTTCGCAATTTGCCGATGCAAGAAGACGGTCAAGACATCGACTTCAGTTTCGAACATGGACCACCGGCTTATATTGCACAGTTCTTGACTCGTCTGGAGGCGTGATCGGTGGGAGAAAACATCGCCGTTGTGTTGTGAAACCGGTGTGAATGTCATGACATTGTTGGTCGTGCAGGAGATGGCTCAGTCCTCGTCGATGGCAGTGCAAAGCGCGTTGGGACATTTACCTGGTTTTCCCAGTGCGGCTTTGTTACGGCCTTTGCGCCAAGATGCGGATGGATCCTTCGTGTACGAAATGGAAGCTTGGTCACAGGCGACGGCTAGGTCTGCGACCACTTCTGCTGGGAGCACGAAACGACCATGGCCGGGCAGATCGCATCCGGATCGTGAACCGTTTTGCGAGATGCACAATTTGCGGTTGCACTCTCTCTCACAAGTCGCTCATCAGTATTTACTACGACAGCATCGCCTGCGGGCTTTCGTTGCAGATGCCGGTGGAGGAGGCGATTGCTTTTTCTTGTCGGTGGCCGTGTGTCTTCAGTTGTGGCGCGAGCAGTGCGTTACGTTTCCACCTACCTTGGAAGCACTGCTAGCGGACGGACCGTCGCGCCAAGTTCTGGCACAACGATTGCGTGACATCGTAGGCCGCCGTTCTACAGTGGTCACCAAGGCGCTTCGTGGACTTTATGACCACTTGCTGATGGATGAACTTGCTGGTACGTGGTTAGATCAGTGGAAGATGTCGCAGGTCATTGCTGGCACGTGTTTCGCTTTTATGCAAACTGTGAACGAATTAACTACTATCAGTGAAGATTCCAGAGGCCATTTAGTTTTGCAATGTAAGCATGGAGAAGAGGTTGGTGTGGTGCGCCACAGCATCATGAATGGTAAGGATGTTTTGGAGAGCTTACAGAGTGTGATTGCTCGCCATGTCAGTGAAGCTGGTAACAAGCATTGGGCCACGCACTGGGATGTGGATGTTTTAGCGAAAGAACTGAAAATATGTTTCTGCATCGTGGGCAATGAACCGGTGAGCGCGCCAGTGAGAGGTGAAGATCTCCCAGCCAACGGCTTGCATTCTTATGCAGCAGCAGTGGAAGACCCTGAGGCTTATGTATGTTTGTACAACGTTTCGCATCAGCATTTTCAAGTCTTGGTCCTGGATTTAGACAGTGGGTTTCAAAGCGCATGCCTACCTCCAGAGCTGCCGACTTCATTGGCAGATGCTTTGCGCAAGCGGGCTGTTGTTTCCATGGTTTGACATGAAATTTTGTTATCGATTTGCAGCTTGACTGGCTTGCAGTTACTATTCGACGTCACTTTGCTAAGATTTTCGTGTTGGGTTGGTTGATATACCTTTTGACTGTCAAAGTTGGTCGCGTTCTAAGAGCATCGATTCTATCAATGTGTTTTCTTGTTAATAGGAGTCGCTGTCAGGTCATGGCGTTGGGAAGAACCATCGGAGTGGTGGCTCCGTGTGCTGACATTTGGTTCCGGAGATAGATAGGGTTTCTTTCTGTTCCTGTTGTGATTATGACCGCTACAGCTTTGATTTTGATGTTCTTACTCGTTTTGGTTTTGCAATGGTTTTCAGTCGTCTTACGGGTTTGTTTTTTGGATCTACACGTTCAACACTACTTTGATAGCCTTGCGTTATGTGAGACGGGAGATGGGGATTGTTTCCCGACGGTCCGTTTTGGATATCCCTGCGACTTGGCTGTGTCCAGCGAGGCGCTAACGTCTCTTTTCATGCGCCAAGGTTTCGGCAGAGATCTCGACGAAAGCTGCGCGTGCTGCGGCTTAGATGCTGCGAGCGACAAAGGCCAGGGACGTATGGGATAGAGTGTGCTGGCTGGAAAGGGTGACTTGGACTACTTTTTGTTTTGAAGAGAGCAATTCATGTACCCGAAGGGATGCAGGGAGAGAATTGAACAGATGTGATGTGAGTCACTGTCATGCATAGCAGCAGCAATTGCGCCAGCATGTATACTGCTGCACTGGACACAGACCGTGACAAAAACTTTCACAAGGTCATCACTTCGCTCTGCTCCTTTCAAAGGCGCTTGCGCTGGCAGCTGCCGTTGCCGTTGTGCGCGTTGGATGTACAAAGCAGGCCGGATGGATGATCGCTTTCATTATGACAGCAGCGACAGTAACTGTACCGCAACAATCTCCTTTCATTATATGCAACATTTCCCTGCTCATCCCTGCTCCATCCATGGGATTGCCTAGTCAATGTTATCGCGTTTGCCCTGAGGCTGCCACGTCGCTGATGACGCGCTCGCAGCAACCACATGTGTCACAAAAAGATTGTTTTTGCAGTGAAATCGTGATGGGTTGTACGTGTGATTCATTCGTTGTTATATTTCTGCTTTATCAATTTTAAGCAAATAATCTATATTTTGTTTTTATAGTATAATACTTTATATTTTATACATTAACTACTTTACGTATATATTCAATGAATTTATACTTAAATTTGTATTAATTTGTAACAATAGGTGATTTTAGGAATTATTGGGATACCTATTTAAAGAAATATTGATATTACTATTCAATGAATATACTTGGGGAAATACTTGTGTCAAGCCAAAACTAGCAGATGAAGGCAGACATGTCAGATAACTTAGTAGAGCTCAAAAATAGGTGAATAAGTGCACTTCCACAGCCTGCCGGACTCTAATAAAATGTAGGGCTACTGGCACCGGATTTTGTCTTCTGTCAAGTCGCGCTTACGTCATTGTGCTCTGCAAGAAGAATGGTTATAAGGCTAGCGTTGTGTTTCTTAACAGTCCACGCCCTAGCTCCCCCTCAACTGCAGCGGTGGGGTATGTATCAGAACCATGCTTAACCACTGTAGACCATACCGGCCCTCATTGCATTACTTGGTGGCTGTTTGCTCCTATTTTGCCCGCATGGCTGTTCATGCTGCTGTGTTGAATTCCTTTCGGTTTTCTGCTTGTTGTTGCAGTTATTTGTTGTCTTGTGGGCGCGGGCCTCCTCCGGGTCATCATATACCATGTCTAAAGGACTACTCAGCAGCAAGCTTCTTGAAAGCCTGCGCGCCATGCTCCCGCAAAGATTGGGTTGCATAGTCCACTGGACATGGGCTGTGGGTTTCGCTTCCTGGTTCAGCCCGGCAGCAAGAAGTGGAACAATGGCTCGCCAACTTGAGGCGCTGGGTGAAATTGATGGTGGAACCCCTTTCCCTGCTTGGTACCCTAGATGCTCAGCTGAACAAGTCCAGCGTTGAGCTTTCCTATTTTGTTTTTGCACTGCCGAGCAAGTGGCCTACCAGATTAAGGACAAGAAGTTGATAAACTTTGCTCAGAGGTTTTGGTGAAGGTGTCTGAAATGGAGCCTTGGCAACAAGGTTGTTTTGTTTTTGACAGCTTCGCATGGGCCCGGTACTCCTTTGCCAAGCGAGGAGGTTGCCATTGCAGCAGCAGAGGGGGAGGACGGGATGAGTGCGAGCGGTGACGCATGTATCGCCACGTCGTGTTTTTGAACGCTCAAGGAACGAGGGTTAAAGTACCGCAGAAACTCACAGCAGGTGGCATGGGTCTATGGTGCGTGGAGGGTTAGAATGGAGAAATGACAGATTATTGATTTTACAATGTGACCGATCTAAATAAAATCCGCCCGCGCCGAGGGGAAATTATCACTGGCCGCATGCTCACCGCTAGAATTTCACATTAGCAGCACACAGCTTCATCTTTTTAGCGTGAGGGCGGAATGCATTTTTGGTCGGTCTAGATTGCTGTTTGTGGATGTTTCTTTCAACGGACAAAACATCAGCAATCCATCCGTGATGCCGGTTATGCTGCCCGAGGGAGACTGCGTTATTGACATCGCGGTTAGTTATTATTATGCTTCGCGAAGGATACTAAATTGTTGACATCGCGCGCGTGTGTGTGTGTGTAACCCTTGGAATGATAGGGATCCTTTCGGATTGTTTTAGCTTCGCAGTTGTTTTCCTTGTGTAGCAGGGGCGTGTGGCACTCTCGTCCTACCACACGCAACGAAGCTGTGGGCGAGAGTGGGAAGGGAAACTTGGCCAGTTTCCTGTACCTGCTGTGATAATTACTCCAATCTCCGGGCCCTGCTTGTACCTAAAACAAGAAATCCAGCCTTTGCACCGGTTTGCTCTCGGCAGTCGCGCATAGGGCTTTGGTTTCGGACGACGTCACTCTGTCGCTCGGTCATTCGACGGTTCTTTTAGAGTTGATGGCCACGCTGAACTTGATGGACCTCCACTTCCTTTTCAGGTTTCCTTACGTGTACTCTTAGGAATTGGTAACCTAGGCCGGCGTGTGGCACCGCTTTCAGTTCAGCACACCCTATCCTAAGTGCGTTTGGCCTCGTGCCAACCCGGGATGAGCCCGCAGAGTGCCTCCCGTGGACCAGTCGAACGGGTGTACGTCGTTATCTCCCCTGCCCGGAGATGTACGTGTCCGCAGCGGACAGTAGCTGGCTCATGCCACCAGAACTCCGATTTTGTCTCATTTTAGGAATTCCAAGCTGGCTTATGCCTTTACGTGACCGCAGCGGTCAAAGCAGCCAGCCGCTTCGGCAGGGCACAAGGTGACCACAGCGGTCAAAGTATTTTGAGGTTCATTGGCACCTGTTGGGACCTTAGCCCCTTTCTCCCCCTTCCCTTTCCTGAATGCAACACTCAGGATCACCCCCTCTCTTTCTTTGGTGTGTCCCTGGACGCTTGTTCGTAGCTGGGAACACCTGCCTTTTTCTTTTTTCTCTCCTCTCCCTTTCTCTCCCTCTCTCTTTCTTTCTTTCCTTCTCTCTCTCCTTCCTCCCTCCTTGGGCGTCCCTGGATGCTTTTGTCATAGCTGGGAACCTTCTCCTCTCTTCCTTTGGTGTGTCCTTGGACGCATGCGTCGTAGCTGGGAACACCTTCCTTTCTTTTCTCTCCTTTTCCTCGTCTCTCCCTACCCCTCCCTCTTGTCGGCACCTTAGCTTGGGATGCTACTAGGGGCTCCTGGCCTTCCTACTAGGTGTTAGGTGTTTCTTTGACGCTACTAGAGGTCCCTGGCCTTTCCACTACTTGGGGACGAAGAGTCTCACACCACCTATGGCGCGGAGCTTAAAAATCTTGCCTCCCCTCGGGGAGGCGTGTGTGTGTAACCCTTGGAATCATAGGGATCCTTTCGGATTGTTTTAGCTTCACAGTTGTTTTCCTTGTGTAGCACTCTCGTCCTACCACACGCAACGAAGCTGTGGGCGAGAGTGGGAAGGGAAACTTGGCCAGTTTCCTGTACCTGCTGTGATAATTACTCCAATCTCCGGGCCCTGCTTGTACCTAAAACAAGAAATCCAGCCTTTGCACCGGTTTGCTCTCGGCAGTCACGCATAGGGCTTTGGTTTCGGACGACGTCACTCTGTCGCTCGGTCGTTCGACGGTTCTTTTAGAGTTGATGGCCACGCTGAACTTGATGGACCTCCACTTCCTTTTCAGGTTTCCTTACCTGTACTCTTAGGAATTGGTAACCTAGGCCGGCGTGTGGCACCGCTTTCAGTTCAGTACACCCTATCCTAAGTGTGTGTGTGCGCGCGCTTGTCCGCGTGGCCTTCACGAAAGAGACCACCGTTTGCACCAAACCACGCTTTACACAACCGCCGTTTACACCAAACCACCGCCTACACCAAACCACAGCTTGCCCTTTACACGAAACCAGGTTTGGGCCAGCCACCGTTCACACCAAACGACGCTTTGCACCAACGGTTTACCTCAGAATTTGGTCATGCAGTATGCCCTGGGGGTGGGGACCACCGGATAGAACATACATATTCTATATGCAACGCTCTTCATAACACATGCACCTACCATATTCTATCTCCATGTTTGCTCCTCTCCACCCCCAGCATATACACTCTTCATATTCGTTTTGCAACTTCAAAATCATACTCTAACTCCGGGCTCCTCATATATCTAGCTCTCTCTTTCTCTCTTCATATATGTTTATCTTCTGTTGGCTTATTTAGAGTACCAAACAATTTCATCATGTTTCATCTATATATACAGCGCGGCTATAGTTGTGCGTGGTGCTTTCTGCCACGCTGTTGTTTACTTTGGGTTTCCTTGAGTGCGCGCGTGCATGTGTATGAGAACAGCGGCCAGCCGATAGAGTGCGAACAAAAATTTTGGGTTTGCTGGTGGTTGCGCCTTTGCAGGCATGGCTTGGGCAAGCTTTCGCTGCGGCAATCAGGGCGAATCAGCTTGATCCCTCCAACCCGACGGCGGAGGCTAGCCCACCACGGTTGAAACGTCAAAAAAAACATAAGTGCATTCGTTGGCGTTTGTTTTGAGACACCGCGATGTGCCAGTGGAGTTGCAAAGTGATTGAGGCCATGCTGCGCAGACTTCAGACCTAAGGGTGATGGGCCTGTGAGCCTTGCTAAGCTGCCAGAGTCTTTTTAGAGACCCAAGGCTCGTGTTGTTGGCTTTTACTGCCAAATTTTCACGATTGAACAAAACAAACCACCCAATTGAACGGGAGATTTCAGCCCTGGATTGGTGGTGCGACCTTTTGAAACAAAAGGTTTGCCCCACGAGTTTTCGCGTCGGGCTCGTGCACATATCACTTGCTCAAATGGGACGGGGATGCCTTCGCGCGCCGCAAAATCAACCCACCACGCTGATCAAGCTTGTTTGCTGGGATTCGCTCCAATAGCGATGTCCAATAGCAAATATATAATGCAAAAAGAGGTGTTCCTTTGTGCTTGACATAGCTGAAGTTTGCTCAACATCCTTGCGACCAGCTGTTCATTTGCTGTTGATGTTGTGGACGTGATTGCAAGAAAATCAGAGTCAACGCATAGGGTGGACGCGCTGCATGTAGAACGCCGAGGGTTCTCGAAGACAAGTTAAAAGTCGCAGGTTGTTCAAGTCCAAGTGAATATGTTTCATTGTTTCTAGGTTGAATTTGTTCGCCAACTATGTTTGAGTATATGCCACACCCAAGCCTTATCACCTCCAAGAACGTCAACTCCGTGGCTGTGACAACCCATATGTAGCACAGCTTTTACCCCCAACCAGACCACGGCAAGCCCCACATTTCTGACTTTGAAGGTACGTGAAAAAATGAAAGGTGATAGACATTGGCAACATCCCCGCACCTTGTTGCAGTTTTTGCCTAGAACCTTGCCAAGGCACATGTTTCATTTTGACGGTTCAGGGTGTTCAGAACTTCAGCATTGGTGCGTTTGAGAACTTCTGCATCGACTTTCAAATTTGCTGTCATCAAACACGTTCCTCCTCCCAACGCTAGCGCCATGGAGTCATGGAGTGCTGGTTCTCGTGTCGGATTGGCCCAAGGTGCGGGGCGCGGAAAGTTTGAGGTGCTTGCAAGAAGGCATCTGAAGAGATTTGTGGCAGGGGAGCAAGGCGGGTGTTTGCCGTCAGTTTGCGTGCCGATGTTGATGTCCTTCCTACAAAAGCTTCGAATATGCGTTGAAGGCTTGCGACATCTTGTGTTCCGGGTTCCTCGAGGAATTCGACGTGAAGAGTGTGGTTTTTGCAGGTGTCAGTTTTGTGTTTATTGAGGTTCAAATTTTTTGCCTTGCAGCTTCATGCGCTTTGAACAGGCTTCCAGTTCCCGCATTGATGTTCGGTGGTAACAAACTGTAAATTTAGGGAGGAGGATTTGCGATTCAAAGCCATCTCTACCAAAACGCCGCTTACTCTTTGTATCTCGTTGCCAGCTGGTATTGTTCTGAAACACGATTCCAAAATATATACTGTAAGTCTCAGAGACTCCAGAGTGATTCTCCCTCACCCCTGCTCTCAGCAAAGGAAACACACAACTGGTGCGCAGGCCAGGCCAGTTTCAACATGCTGGCCAACCAACCAACCCCGGACTATTCGTTTAAGAGTGTAGGACAGGTAGGGAAAAATATAATCGATTGAAACGGCGACCATGTTGTGAAAACCATGCCCCGGAAAACGGGATGGTGTTGTGACAACAGTCGCAGTCTTGTGATGGCCCAACACCCCAAACGCAATCACGCAGCATGTTCGATGAAGATAGCCGTAATAATGGTGCCCATTTTGTGAACCGGTGCACGTTTACTCCACTAGCAGCACTAGCGTGTAAAAGGGTCAAGATTGTTCAGAAAGTGCAGTGGTCCCACTGGAGCCGTGTGGCTTTTACATGCGTTGGAAAGGTCGCCGTAAACCTGTTGGCCGCTGCCGCGCAGGAGATGACTTGAAGGAAACCCACCATACTTTGATGCCACGCTCAAGCTGAAGTCCAATGTTCACACCCCCTTCTCTGGGGTCAGTGTTGGATTTCTTGAGGTTAGGGGTGGAGACAAACCTCTGAGGCCTTCCTTGCCCTTTTCATTGCGGCAGTCCTTCCTTCTTGGCTCATCTCACGCTTTGGCCTTGGCTTTGGGTTTGGTCTTGGCCTTCTTTCTCGCTTTCCGCTTTGGATTTCTATCTCCTTGGTGGGGCACTCCAGCTCCCACTGCTCCAAGGCCTGCTCAGGGCCCTCCTCCTGGATTGACTCGCACCCAGGCCTACTTGTATGAGTGGACAGGCTGTTGAACTTCTTCAACTACAAGTTCAACAGCCCTGCTACGAGTGGAAATCCTTGAGAAACGTGTGGTGGAGCTTGAGAAGGGTGGACGCCACGGCTTGGCGGAGGAGTTTGAATTGGTTTCAGCAGCCCCAGCGGCATCAGGATCATCTCGCAATTCTCAAGCTCCTCAATCTACAACTTGCTGGCTTCAGAGACCCCTGACATTCCCAGGGAGGCTTTTCGCATTTGTGGCAACTTGCGTGGCGGTAAGCCACTTTCCGTCAGAGAGCTGAGGGGGCTTGGTCAGCAGGGTGCTGGGCACGCTTTGTGCTGGACGGACAGGTCAGCAGACCCAGACCATCGACCCCGTGCGACCTGACCAATGTTGGTTGCAATGCCGGCCTCATTGGTCATATCAGGATCTCTCCCACTAGATCCTGAATGTCGGATACCAGCATGGAGCCTATTGGGGTGGACATCTCACTCTATGTTGTGGACCTTGGAGTTGGAGCTCTCAGTGCAATCACTCCTCATGCATTAGTCCCGGAATCAGAGGATCAAGGGCTCATCGGCTTTGGAGAGGACTTGGATCGTTATTCCAGATCCACATGTGTTAGTCGACCTTGTCAGGGAGTGGCTGGCGCAGCAAGCCAATCAGCGGATCGCCTTCTACTCCGCGGAAGAAGGGGAAGGGAAGGGCTGTTCGAGGAGGAGGAAGCGAGGCGGCTCGTTCAGAGACGGCCTGGCGAGCATCACCGTGCAGCGTACGCTCGCATTTGGTCGTTCCTCAAGGCGTGCGGCCCACCTGCAGAAGTGTCTGTTGCAGGTTGTGGACGGAAGAAGTTTCAATTAGATGCACGAACGAGGGGGATGGTGCAGGCTCTCGATGGTTTGGGCCTCAACCCTTCTTCCTTGTATCATCAAGCAGCATGTGGGGCAAGTGTTCCTGAGGACAATACAGCTTGTGATGAACTCAGGCCTTACCGGCCGCTGGATGCTGATAGAATCAGGCCCACAGGAACTGGTGGTTGGGACTGTCGACCTTCTATACACGCCCCTTGTTGAGCCCGACGCGCTCCGCTTCATGATTGTTCCTCCTTCCGGATTTTTTCCGAACGTGCTAGAAGGAGATGTGGAACAGACTATGAGGCTGTGCAAAGTATGGGGCGCGAATCGTCTGCTGCGCTTGATTCCCACACCGTTAGGCCCTCAGGACAATGAGCTGTTCCTCCATACAAAGGTATTTGGCAATTTCAAGAATGCAGATGCCGACAGACAGATAGGTGACCGCAGAGGCCGGAACTATGTGGAGGGAAGAATTGAAGATGGTCCTTCCCATGATATTCCAAACTGCATTGCTTCAGTTGGAGGTCAAAAGATACAAGCAGGTGGTGGTTGGAGCCATCGCTGATCGGAGGGGCTTCTATCGCCAGTTTGCTGTCACCTACGAAAGAGCTGCCACCAACACGGTCTACCCAGCTTTCACCTTGGGAGAGTTCAAAGGGCGGCTGCCTACGAAGAATTTGTGGCAATGTTTGGTCAGAAGAAAGCCCTGGCTCGAGAAGACCAGGGGACTTCCTTGGCCTTCCCAAGCCTCTTCTTTGCTCCTGTGATGACAGAACGCCAGTCTTCTGTGCTTTTGGGGTCCTCTTTCAGGGTGATCACCTCGGTGTTGAGATTGCATGTTGTGCGCATGCTATGATGCTTGAAGAGGCTGGATGTCATCATCACCGGCTATGTGCAAGCAAGCCAGACTATTGTCCACAACAGGACTCGTCATTGATGACTTCTTCTGCCTCTCAACCAAAGACATTTCTCATGCTGCACATGCTAGCGGTGGTCTTAAGAAAGCCACGGCTGCTTATCAAAAGGAAGGCGCGCTTGGTATCGATGACAAGGAAGTGACCAACTCGCTGCACTACAAAGTCATTGGTGCGGAGATCAATTCCCCGGTTTCTTTGGCACGAGAGGGCATGGTCTGGCTGAGAAGCGTTTTGGGCTTACGATGATGAGTGCTCTGGCGGCCAACATGGCATATACCACAGATGCCTTGCACAACTCCCTCCTTGGATCGTGGATATGCCCTTCTGTGCAGAAGGCCGATGATGGCCCATGTGAATCGGCTTTTCCAGGTGATAGAGCCTATCTCCATCCTGATGCTTCTATGCTCAGGCCATTGTCGAGGTCTGCTGCCGAGGAGCTCCTGGCGTGCGTGTCTTGGCCCATTGGCGGCCTCCAACATAGCAGGCCCTTTCTCTGAGGTTGTCTATGCCTCTGATGCTTCTACACAGAAAGGGGGCTTAGTGTGCGCTCGTGTGCTTGAAGAGCTTGGACGGGCTCCATGGCGAACTGCAAACAAGAAGGCGAAGAACCCATGCCTTCAGACTCACACAGCAGCTCTGCACAGGATCAGGCCACTTTTGGAGGATGAAATCTGTAGACCAGTGGGCCTGCGCTGGGCAGGTGTTGTGACGGCTGAGCTTAGCAAGTTAGGCGTGGCTTGTGGACCAGTCTTCAACATCAGCTTCTCCAGGAGATTTGATATTGTTGATAGAAGGGTCTTTGCTTGGCTGGAATTCATGTGTGAGGACGCTTTTGTCGTTTCTTGCAGCTCCACCTTGCACCACTTTCAGCGCGGCGGCTCACCCTTGTCTTCGCACACATAAGAAGCCACTTGGTCTGCACGCCAGACATCCTCAAGTAGTACATGGAAATGATATGGCCTTCTCACGCGTCGGCTTGTTGCTTGTGGCAAAGAGGACGAGAGCGCTTGGCATGATGGAAACGCCTCGGAGGTCCAAGCTTCGATGGACCCCCCAATGGAGAGGCTTGCAGAGGAGGCGCACCTTGCTTCATGTGAGTTTGGATCAGAGCATCAGAAGGAGTTTGCTCTCCTCACGGTGGCGGTGAATGCCCGGAGTCTGGGACGAAAGTGCTCCAGGACCCAACACATCAGGATTGAGGGCAGCCTAGTGCCCTGGCCTGGCTACAGCAATTGCCTTCGCTCACCGCCTGATCGCCCTGAGTGAGGTCTCAGAGCCGTCTACTTCTCCTCGAGGCCTCGAGGACATGTTGACAAATGAAGTGCTGCTGACGGCAGAGTGGGAG